AACAAATAAAAAAAGAAATGAAAAGCGCGCAACAAACAAATTAAAGACACTCCACAAACGTTCCGATTGAACATACAAAACTGTTTATTCGCGTTCAATAAGTTGTTATTCATTTGTATACAAACATCAGAAACTTTGCCCTATAAAGCTGCAGAAAGTTGAGCGAAATAAATTGACGCAGGCTGGGTGTTAATTGGTAAACTTGTACAAAAAGTGAGATACGACTATAAAATACGCATATTATTTAAATCAATTTTATGAACATCAAGCCTCCAATCGCTAATATAAAGATCAGGCAGAATATTAGCTAACATATATAAGATTTCTGAAATATTTTCTCAGTGTTCTCAGTTTATGCTTTTATTATAAATTTTTATGAACACCTTTATGTTCAATTAAAAAAAAAAAAAAAAAAAATATATATATATATATATATATATATATATATACATAGATATATATACTTTTATCAGGTAGTTTACTATTATTAATATTATTATTATTATTATTATTATTTTTATTTTTATTTTATTTATTTATTTTATTTTATTTTTTTTTTTTTTTTGTCAAATCAGGTTTAATATATGCTCAAAACAATTTGGAATTAATATTCTTATTAATAGTTAAAAATATGAACCATAACTCAAATATCTTTTAAGCTGGTAGTAATTAATTCCATCTGATTTATAGCTTTAATGTTAATATTGTATTAAGTCAAGCGCTACAATCACTTTAACATTATTTCCTATATACCTATATAATATATCTGATCACGCTTCTCAGCAGCACTTGCACTACTTATAAAGGCTTAGTTCTATTTCTAGTTGCCTCGCTGCTTTGCTCCACTTAAGGAAATTAAAAACTTGAATTGGCTCAGCTAATAAAATGAATATATGTATAAAATATTCAAAACAAAGCATTAATGGATTGCAATCCACCTGCCGGTCCCCCTTTTTTGTATCAGCTTTAATTAATTTGCATTCGCACAACGAGTAATTCAACTAAATTAAGCCCCTGCCCGCATGATTTTCTCGGCGTTTGCTGACTGCTGCGCAGAAAAGTGCCGATTGGAATTTATATGGAAAACTCTAATATGAAATATTGGGGAACCAGTTTCGTATACCCGTTACCGATTGCCCACTGCAATTAGCACCAGCGCTCGAATTCGAAATTAAAATATTTGCACGCCCAACGGCGACAGCTGACAGATGCCGGAGCCACGGGGGCATTGTTCCATGGCATATGCTCCACTTGACAATTGGCCACTCAGGCTGTTGGATCACTCGAAATTAGCACCTCAAATAGATATATCCGACAAGACAATACAATATGCAAATTAGTTTCATTACGTGGACTCAACCAAAGGGTCTATCTACACATAACGAACAAATAATTAAATTATATATAAATATACTATATTAGTTAACTCAAATAGATATATTCGGAAAGCCAATACCAATACCAATACTAGCTTAATTACGTGGACATCAGCCAAAGGGTCTATCTATATACTTATATCTATATATGGTCCATACATCTGTAGACTATATATAACGAACAAATAATAAAATTGTATATAAATATACGATTTTAGTTAACCCAACAGACTTCTTAGTTGGTAGCTTACGCAGGGCCTCCAGGGCATATCGTATCTTGTTTATATTTGACAAATATATGGCTCAGACGAACCCTATAATATAGATAACAATATAAATCGTGATAAAGTCGTTATTGTTATATGATCTTTTCACACATTTTGATAAGCCACTCAAAGATATAAAAGGAGAAAATAAAACGTATTAAGTTGCTAAGCATTTTCTGATTGCGGTAGAGCCAGACAAGCACTTGGAGTTCCAGGAACTAAAAAAAAAAAAAGGAATAACAACTGGTAGAGGAATACCCTTAATAATAGAGGAGAATTATATATTTAAAAATTTATATATCTATATAGACATATTTTTTTTAAACTGGTAATCAAATCTTAATTAGGTAATTCAATCACAAGGATACAAAAATAGCTTCAAAATTTATTTACATTCAGAAGAAATACTCGAATATTTTGGTTGTTAAATTGTTCAATAAATTGGTTGAATTAATTTAATTTTACAGGGAACACTTTTCAGATCTAGAAATCTTTCTTATATAGATGTGTTTCGGTATGAATGTCATATCTATAGATTCTTTTTGTTTTAGGTCTTCAAGCTCTTTCAACTCTTATCAACTTATATCAAATGACAATTTGTCGCTTCAAAGGGGCAAATCGTACTGCCGTCATGGCATCGAAATTCGAGGAGCTGGCATTTGATGAATTCGGCATGTTATTCAATGCCGGCTGTTGTGGAAAGTCAACTGATTTCAGCTGTAACCGCTTTCAATTGATTTCAATTGAGCGCCGGCTGGGTGGGGGCGGGTGGTACAAATGTTTTCATACTATATCGTATGTTAATATTTATCGATAAATAAAATAAATAATTGAACACAATGTGTCACGCACAGCAGAACTGATGGAAATGGACGATTTGTCATTCGCAGAGCTCCCGTGGACGTGGTCAGGGCGGAAAATGTGCTAGACTGGGCCGAGCTGCGCGGAAATGATCAATCAGGCATCCACAGTTCAGACGGTCGGCGGTCGGTCGCCCATGCCTAGTCCCCAGCTGTCGCACCGACATATCTCACAAGCCAGCCCAAAGGATGAGGGTGCTCGGATTCCCGCTGCTCCAGCCACAGCACCCGGCAGCGACGTCATCACCGATGTAGTTGGCAACTTTGGCATCTGGCAGCTGCGCACCATACTCATCATCTTCCTGTGCAAAATACCCGCCGCCTGGTTCATGGCCTGCATCATCTTCACAGCACCGGAGCTGTATCCGCGCACGGAGTTCACCTGCGACACCAGCTACCTGAACAGCAGCTCCAGCTCCAATTACAGCATCTCGGATAACCAGTGCTATGTGCTGGACGACAGCTCGGGCAGCCGCAGCGAGTGCGAGCAGTTCACGTACGTCTCCAGCTTCGACTCCCTGATTATGCAATTCAATCTGGTCTGTCTGCGCGACATCTTCATTGCCTGGACCCAGTACTGGCATCTGTTCGGCGTGCTCGTTGGCGGCGTCATGGGCACCAAGATGATGCTGGGCATCAGTCCGCGCAGCACCTACTGTGTGGGCGCCATCGCTCAGATTCTGTGTGGCGTCGTCACTGGCTATGCGAGGGACTTCAGCTTGCACTGCGCCTTCCGCTGCCTCTCGGCCGTCTGCTGTGCCATTATGTTTACCGCTGGACAGGCGATATGTAAGTGAAAAAGTCTCTTGTGCTTCAATACTGTTTGAATTCCACTTTAGTATCCCGCAAGCAATGCATAGCAAATTTTCTCTTATATCTAAATCTCTCTTGATCTCATTTTCAATCTGATTGCAGAAGATTAAGCAGATAATTTTCATTTGCATTTCCGTTAGTCTTATATCTTAGTGTCTTTGCCTAGCTAATCTCGAGTTGAAGAATTTTCAAAATATCCTCTCTAATTTCCCCTGCATTAAAGCACTAAATTTCCCATTACAAAGTCAGCAATCTCCTCCACCTCTAGTCGTAACTTCCCATTTTTCTTTCAATTTCCCAATCAATTATCCATTAGGGAAATATAATGTCTTCTCCAATTTGATTAATCCTCTCTCATCCACCTGCAGTTACGGACATTACGGCCGGCATGCACCGCATTGGCGCCATCATACTGTACGACACGTTCTGGTCCATTGGCGTCATCCTGCTGCCCACGCTGTCGTCGTTCTTCAACAGCTGGTCCCTCATCTATGTGGGCATAACGTTTCCCACGGTAATGCTGATTGTGCTGCTGTACTGGACACCCGATTCGCCGCGCTGGCTGCTGCGGCACGCCATAGATCATCACTCCATCGACAATGTGGAGCAGATGGTGCGCGAGGGCGCAGAGATCAACGACCGCTGCTTCAAGATACCGCCCGATTTCCGGCAGCAGCTGGAGCAGCTCAGCGAGAGGCTGAAAACAGCGCCGGCGCCCGCACCCTGGACGCAGCTCTGGCAGGGCAGGCGGGCCAAGACGCACATGGTCGCAGCTCACCTCGCGCTGGCGTTCTTCGTGATCAACTTCATGGGCATGCTGCTGAACATAAGGTCCTTTGGCCGCGACTACCTGGTGCCCAACACCATAGCCATGGGTGAGACCTTGGGTGATGCTTCGAATGGAGCAGTTGATATTTACTGACGTTTCTTCCTCAGGCTTCTCGGAGATCATTGGCTGCTTCCTGGCGCTGCACTTCACGCTGAAGCACAACAAATGGAAGTGGCAGTGCGCGGGCACCTTTAATATACTCGCTGGCATGATGGGCTGCATGGGCTGGCTCTTCACGGGCGCCGACTCCAGTGAGTGCTAAAGAGGATTGCTTGCCTTGACCGTGACTAGAATAATTTCTTTTCTCTCTCTCTCTCTCTCTCTCTGCTACAGTGAATGCGGAGCTGAAGGTCTCGCTATGGATGATCATAGCGACGATACCCAAGGCAGCAGTGTCATGTGCCCAGTCCATGCTCCTCGCCTGCATGAACGAGCTGGTGCCGGCGAATAAGAAGCAGCTCTTCGTCTTCTCGGTGATCACCTGGGCGCGCGTCTGGCTACTTTCGGCGCCCTTCTTCAACGTACTCAAGCGCATCGACACCGCCCTCTCGCTGACCTCCTACAGCGTCTTCAGCATTCTGGGCGGCATCTGCACCTGCCTCCTGCTCACGCCGCGCACCAGCACGACGCCCGTGGTGGCGCAGCTGGAGCAAGAGGAGCAGCAGGACAAGAAGGAGCAGTCGCCCCTGAATGCGCCCGTCTGGACCATCGAGTCGGATGTGCACAATACGCGCCTATAGAGCTCTGCCTGTGAGCTACCCCAACTCCTCTTTTATTCTCTATACTAACTAAGCTAATAAAACTCAATTCTCTGTGATTAGTTACAAGCGAAAGAATTTATTGCTTATCTTACTGATTAGAGTAGTATGTACACCAGCAGCATATAGAAGCACAGGTGCGCAAATATCCAGAACCAGTAGATTCTACAGGTAGGCAAAGAAAAGACGAACAGATATCGGAAAGTAGTTTCTCACTTACTCTCAACAGCATTAAACTTCACTGAAACTCAATGCCATCGCCAGTTTATGAAACTCACCTGGTCACCTGCATTTTGTTGGCATCGAGTGTAAACTTTTCCCGATGTAAATATTTATTGATGCCGATCACATGGCGTCTGACATAGTCATCGTAGTTGAGCTCATCCAGGTTCCAGCAGAGCTCGCCAAAAGTCCCGTTTTCAATCAGCTGCTTGAAGTAGAATCGACTGCGGTTCTTGAATATCCACTCGTTCAACGAAAAGAAGCTGCCTGCAAGCGAAAGAATGATCTTAAGGAATGATCTTAAGGCAGCGACTCTTTTAGCTACCCGCCAGGCAGGCTTGTCGAAACTTTTTGGCTATGGGCGTGGCGAAGCGCCGCTTGGAGCCCAGCGCCAGAGTGCGCAGATCCATCAGCAGCGCGGGCACAAAGTGCAGCAGCCACACGGCCAGCTCGTGCCTCAAGGCGCCGCGACGATACTTGAAGCTGGGAAACATGATCATGCGCCTGGTGGGATAGATGCGGGACCACTTCATGGTCAGTTCACCGAGTCGCTGCCAGGTGATGGGATTCGTAGAGCCTGAGCTGGCATTGCAGACGCTGATGCTGCTAGGGCAAACGTTCAAATTACTCTTCACAGATCTTCAGAGTGGCTGTTCGATCCACCCACCTGCCCAGCTCCGCCTTGTGCACCATCATGATCATTGCATTGACCACAAAGTCCACGGGAATAATGTCGCAAATCAGATTCTTGTCCCCCAATATGCTGCTGATGCCGCCCTTGCCGATCTCCATCATAATGCCGCTGATCGCCTGTATGTTGTCGATCCAGCCCGGATACGGCTCCCGATAGGCGGCCGTCACAATCGAGGGTCGCACTATGACAATGGGTATGCGGTCCCTGTAGGAGTTCACAATCTGCTCCGCAATCGACTTGGTGAACGTATACGTGTTCACGTGCGGGCCCTTTATGTAGTCGGCCAGCCGGTTCAGGTACTCCTCGGGTATCTTTTTGACGGCGCTCAGGAACTGCCGCCAGTCCACAGGCGGCAGTGTGGCATAAATGCACTCGTCCACATACTTGCGACCCGGATTACAGTACGCAGTGGATACGTACAGAAAACGCTGCAAAATAAAGCACACATAATTATCATATTTTGTATACAAAGTCCATTGCAATGATTAACAATTAAAATAAAAGTAAAGCTTCAAAAGCTCATGCTTACAAAACTTTCAAAGCTCATTTAAGACTTAAGATTAAATTAATGTTTACATAAAAATTACTTATAAAATGTACGCAAAGAAAATATAATTAAGATAACTCCAGTCGGCGTGCTGGACTATGAAAACCAATCAAATACAATTCAATAGCAATTGTGATTTTTAGAATAAGATAGAGTGCACGCATAGATAGAGTATGCATATGTGTGTGTGTGTGTGCGACTGCATAGAAAAAACGCTTGCATGTTTGTATGTGTGCATACGTATAGGGAAAATGTTTTTCACTGTTCAGCGTTGCTTTTGCTAATTTGCCAAACTTTTTTCGGGTAATAAATTGTGACTGACAACGGAATTAAATGAAACTGTCAGCTATGCGCAGATTTTTATTGAATATTTGACATTTTTTTTTTTTAAATCTCACTCATTCACATATTGGATATATTTGCAACTAAGCTTCGAACAGGAGTTTGGTGTCTGCATGAAAAATATGAAATAAATTTAAATTTCATAAAATACTCGAAAAAAAATTGGGATGTGGGAGATAATATTTAAACATTATTTTGTATAAGTGTTTTAATCTTTAGCATTAAAACAAAAAACATTATTGATTTGTTGCAATAAACTTGATCTATGTATGCTACATAGACGAACGGACTGATAGATAGACAGAGGGATAGGGCTAAATCAACACAGCCACGCCTTCATCTGCCTCCACCGCATGTCCCATGGGCAATACCTTCAGGGTATAAAAAGCAACTTTAAGCAGCAGAAGCACATAAAGTCGTAAGGACTCATGCTTTAGTTGATATCAATCCATTCTCACTTAAAGTAAATGACTTCTAACACAATCCAATACGAGTCCAGCTAAAGTCTTAAAGCTCCTCTCTCACTTACCTGCAGTTGGCGCATTTTTGTGCACATCTCCAGCAGATTGTAGGTGGCCAGCGAATTGACGCGAGCTGCCACATTGAGACGCTCATTGAAACGCACCTGTAAGCGGAGGTGATCTATATGACTATATATGAGGAGACCATATCAAACTGGAACTTACTGTCGCGGCGCTGTGGAATATAATATTAACCTCTGCGCAAAGCTCGTCTCTGTCCCGCTCATGCAAACCTGTTGAGATTCAAAAGAAAATCAAAAAGAAAAGCTTTATGGGCAATTTTCCGTTCAGTATTTTCACTCTCGAAGCTCGCGTCTTACCAAAATAATCATCCTCGATGTTTCCCGCAAAATACGAGATTTTCTTTAGACGCTCTGGAAACGAGCTGCGCATGCGCTGAAAAATGTCATTCTGTAGGAAGTTCTGGAAACGCTGCTCGGGCGAGACGCCAGCCTTGGCGCGGATGAGCATGTAGATGCGCTTGATCTGGGGAAAACTCCACAGCAGCTTCTCCAGCAGAGCTTTGCCCACGAAGCCAGTGGCGCCTATCGAATGGAGGTGCATTAGGTAAATAGAAATCATTGAAGAATGAAAACTTGCCCGTTATGAAGACGACGGCATCTTTGTAGATATCCAACTGGGCTTCCATCTCGTTGTGGCCACTGTGCTGGCTCAAATGCAACTGATTGCTGTTGCACTTGCCGCTGCTCTCTCCGGTTGCAACTGCAGCAGCTCAGCTTCGCTAATTGTTGCTGCTGCAATGAAAGTAAAAAGCTTCCAGCAACTGGCTGTGCTATCTAAACACGTTTTTTTGCAAACTCCCAACTGAAGTTTAAACTTGAATTGGCTTCAGCTCTGCGACGTAAACAACACTCGCGTAATTTTGTTTGCCGGAGCTTACATAAGTTTTGTTTTGAACTGTCCAAAAGCGTCAAATCTTGATCATTTCTCTGAGCATTCCTCAACCAAAGAATATTGTGATAGCAAAAATAATTATTTATATATAAATACATTGATATGCATATCCACATATGCTATAAGCTAATATAAATTATAATTATTACCAAAGTTGTTAGGCAAAAAGCATTAATAATATTGCTGTCATGAACTCAACATAATTAAAAGTAAATTTATGATTATTTAATTAATTAAATCATCAATTTACTTTCAGCTTTTGCTCTTTTTAAACGTATGTTAATTAAACCATAAATTTAAAATTTCTTTCCATTTTTACTTCCCAATTTAAACTCAAATTGACTGTTGGTAACATTCAATTATATGGCCTACTCGCCATGCCACTAGGTGGCGCTGCTTAAAAATAGTGGGTTAGAGTCTTGGCTAAAATGGAATGGGGCCTGACTAAAAACTATTGCTCTGTCTTAAACAATGTTTTTAAATGGTTTTGAGGGCTATTCCTATACTATCCCTATAGATGGCATAGTTAAATCCTGTTGATATGAATTTAAGTATTTATGAGCCTATATACTTAGCTAGTACAGATACTTTATATAAACTTATTTTGTAAATATTAAATCCTAGAAAAACAGATCATTGAAGTACAAAATTCCCTGGATTTTATGTATAGTATATCCTAAATACCTGACAAGCTATAATTAATAATTTATATACATATATTAAAGGTTCCGAAATGTAAATGGCGCAGATAGACTAATAAACTATATCGATTCGGCTTCATATCATGATCCATAGATATCGCCTCTATGGGAACTGACACCCCTTCTTCGGGCTGGTCCCCCTTTGCAAATACTACATTCAAAGGAATGCACGTCACGTGAATTTGATGTTTTCATTAACCATTCCACAGTCCCTGTCAAAAGCCTGTATACTCTTTACTCATTAGCCCCAATGGAAAACCTTAACAATAAAGAAAATAGAAAAATAATAACAGAAATACCTGTTGACATAATCGTTTAGGCAGACTTCAATGTTTGCCGTGTCGAACATCTGAAATAAATTTTAGTGACAATCTGATTAGCGACGATATCGTCGGCTAGCACCAACCGGGGGCTCTGCTCTGCGATTGTTCAGACTTTCTGATGGCTGCGCTAAGCTGTAGCGTAGTCGCAGTTATGCTGGAGGTTCGAAGCCCGTAAGACGTGGTTACTCGATTCTGCACATGTGAGCATGCACCAAAGCTACAGTCCCCCTGAGGCCAAGTGGAAAAAGCGCCGTCCCACGCCCACGCCAGAGGTACATGCCCGCCTGAGTTATATATACACCAGTCAGCAGGATGCTGAGCAGCAGCAGCAGGAGGAGAAGCCAGAGACGGCTGCAGGAGACGTCATCTCGCATGTGCTGGGTGACTTTGGCATCTGGCAGCTGCGCTCCGTGCTGATCATCTTTCTGTGCAAGCTGCCGGCTGCCTGGTTCATGGCCCTCATCATATTCACAGCTCCCGAGCTGTACCCCAACGAGGAGTACTGGTGCGATACGAGCGCCTATGGCGGCGCCGAGAACACGACCGTCTCGGACGATCAGTGCTATGTGCTGGTCGCCCATGGCGAGGCCAACTATGCGATGCGACAGTGCCTGCAGTTCAACTACGCACACGCCTTTCGGTCGCTCATCATGGAGTTCGATTTGGTCTGCCTGAGCGACATCTTCGTGGCCTGGTCCCAGTATTGGCATCTCTTTGGAATGTTCGTCGGCGGCGTGGTGGTCACACGGCTGATGCGTGTGCTCAGTCCTCGGCGCGTCTACATCGTCGGCATCTGGGGCCTGCTCTGCTGCGGCACGGCCACGGGCCTGGTCAATGATTTCAGCTTGCATTGCTCCTTCCGCTGCCTGTCCGGCGTCTGCTGCTGCTTCATGATGACAGCTGGACAAGCAATATGTGCGTAGCAGGTTATCATAAAGAATAATTTTCGATCTTTTATCCCTCAAGTTAGATTTCGTATTTTATAAATTTCTTTAGTTTTTATTTATTACATTTTTATAATTTTATTGTATTTATTTCATTTCATTTCATATTTTTACTTATTTATTTTATTCAATTTATTTTATTTTATTTTTTTTTATTTTATTTTATTATTTTTTTATTTTTATGTTTATTTTTTTTTTATTTTATTTTTTTTTTTTAATATATTTAATATATTTTATTTGCTTATTTTATGCTTTCCAGTTTGCGATATTACGGCGGGCAAGTGCCGGCAGGGCGTGCTTCTGCTCTATGACGCCTCCTGGTCCGTTGGCGTCCTGCTGCTGCCCGCCATTGCAGCATTCGCCCATAGCTGGCGTCAGGTTTATGTGGGCATCACCTCGCTGCCCGTTGTCATTGTGCTGCTGCTGCCCTGGCTGCCGGATTCGCCGCGCTGGCTGCTGCAGCGCGCTGAGCCGACGGCTGCAATGGATCAGGTGCAGCAGCTATTGCAGCAGGCAGCTCGGACTAATGAGCGCTGCTCCAGGCTGCCAGATGATCTCTGCCTGCAGCTGGAACTGCTGGGCGAGAGGCTGCGCTCGCAGCCACCAGCCGCACGCTGGCTGGAGCTGTGGCACGGCCATCCGCGTGCCAAGCTGCAAATGCTGGCCACCCACATGGCGCTAGCCACCTTCCTCATCAGCCACCTGGGTCTGTTGCTAAATGTGCGCAGCTTTGGCCGCGACTATGTGACGCCCAACACCATGCTCGCTGGCCTGGCTGAGATTCTGGGCTGTCTGCTCGCCGTCTACCTGTGCCGCAGCCACAACGCCCACAAGTGGCAGTGGGCGGGCGGCTTCTGCATTGTGGGCGGCTGCGTGGGCTGCCTCTGCTGGCTCTTGGACGATGTGAAGAGTAGGTGTTTAATGCAGGCTTCGCCTATCGACAAATGGTTTACAGTCTTGTGCTTTCAGTGCCAGAGCTCTATGAGAAGATGCTGTGGATGTGCTTGACCGTTCTGCCCAAGGCGGGCGTCTCCTGCGCTCAGGCCATGCTCACTGCGTGCATGGGCGAATCTCTGCCAGCAGAGAAGCGAGCTCCATTTGCCGTCTCTGTGCTTACTTGGGCTCGCGTCTGGCTGCTCTCCGCCTCGTTCCTTACGTTGCTCAAGCAGCTCAACGTCGCCCTCTCTCTGTCCGTCTTCTGTGTGCTGGTTGTACTGGGCGGGCTTTGCACCTGCTGCCTGCGTACGCCTCGAGCGAGGGGGAAGAGAGCGGAGCAAGAGCAGCAGCTGCAGCAGAAGGAAGCTGACTGCTACAACACTCACTTGTAATATGTGATATTTGGAAACGTTTAATAAATTGTACTTGAATATTGTATATCGAAATATTTGTTGGCTTTAGTTATATGTGACGAATTATAAGGGATAGATCTATCTACGTTAGTTTAAAGACACAAAATTGGTATTTAATAAATAAAATATTTAAAATGCTTTAATCTAGCATTTCATTTGATAGAGCTATGCCGTAAAGCCTCCTAAGGCCAGGGGAAAGACATAGTACATTACATAAATATTTATAAATAATATATTTTATGAAGATTAAGCATTATAAAAGAAAAAAAAATTAATTTAAGATTTTCCAAGAGTAACTTAAATATTTTATTAGATTTTGTAATATTATAATTCGATTTCGGACTATTCGCAAAAAAAAAAAAATAAATAAATAAATAAATAATATAAAAAAAGAATAAACATAATTTAAAAAAATAAATTAAAAAATCAAAAATTTACATTGAAATTTCTCATGTTTATCAATGAAAATGAATAAAAAATGTTAGCAATTATATAAGATGTGCGTTAAAATAATTCGAATCTAATTTGTGACATATTTCAAATTCGATATTTAATATATAATCAATGTATAGCCGTATAAACTGATCAATGCATAACTTTGTTAACGCACTCGAGCAATTAGACGCCCAGTGTGCTCTATTCAATTCAGGCTGACAAATATAATAGGCATAGATATTTTAAGCGCATTGCTCTACTGACTGTTTGTACGAGCTCGTGAATTCACCTGCTTGCCCCCAGACCCGCCGCCTGGCGCCAGTAAGCAATGCAAATCAATAAAAACGAAACCATAAAATTGCCCAGAGTCTCGGAAGTGGGTCGCAAATTGTGGCGATATGTCATTGCTGGAGCAACTTTGGCAGCGTTAGGACGTGCACGGCGCTGGATCGTGAGCAGGTGCAGGAATAGGAGAAGCAGCAGCAGCAGGAGCAGGGGCAGAAGCAGCTATCATCTCTGCTCCAATTGGATGCAATGAAATCGAAGAAATCGGCCTTCGCCAATACATCAACGGGCTACGGCAGACACAAGCATAGCGGACACGGCAAAGGACACGCCCAGAGCAAGGATAAGGCCGAGGGCAAGGGCAAGCACAGTAAGGAACAGAAGGCACCTGAGCAAAAGGATGAACAGGACAAGGATCTGAACTCCGGCTTCGGGGACTATCTACGCACGCCGGAGGGTCTGTAAGAAGGAACTATATATGAAAGTACCCCTTCCAATCCTCTTTCTCTTCCTTGCCAGCATTTGAGATGATGAAATTGTTTGTTTTTGCCAATACGGTAATGTTGATTGTGACTATGGCCTGGCCGAATATTAAGGAACAGTTCTTCATGCTAAACCAATGGTGGGAAAGCTTTCGGGAACAGCAACAGAAACAATAAACCCAGAGAATTACTTGAGTTAACGCATTTAACAGAGA